AGCTAGATATGGAACACATTAGGTCCCAGAGGCCTCGTGGAGCTATTTACACTGTTTTGGACTATTTCCAGTATCGCAGACTATTCGGGATGTGTAAATTAAGGAAGTCTCACAGTCCAATGGCTGTGACTGGAACATACACCACGGCTTTAGCTCATGCCCATTTTCTAGTGCTTTTCTTGGCCTCATTCTCACAATTTTATTGTTCTGAAAGACAAATGTTCTGTATTTTTAAGCCACACTTTAGAAAGAATTTCTCTTTCCTTTTCCTCCATGTGCCCAGTTCTATTTCTCAAGCATGAAGCAAAATGAAGACTAATCATTCTTTTCTTGGCATTAAGGCCACTTGGGGCTTTTATTTGCAATCATCTGGCCAAGTCGTAAATACCACTCCACACCTATACAGACTGTTTCTTTAGCTAGAATAATAAATCGATTTCACTTAATAAAATAAAAACCCAGGTTAGGTCATCCTGTGTAAAATGTAGAACACGCATTAAACAGGTGTGTGGGAAAAAAACAAGAAAGCAGGAAGACCATTCCTCTAACCTTGAAGTCTAAAATGCCCAGTTTACAAATATTTATTTGTTTATCTGCAGCTTCCACTATATACCCACAGCATATGAAATTGACTTTGCTGTTTTTTTTCCTCTCCCACACTCCTCTCTGCCTTGTGAGCTTCTCCATATCTTCAGAAGCCCAAGATTCATGCCTCACTTTCCAGTTTGTTACTGATGCTTGGTAACAGGACCTGGCACACTAACCATGAATGGACAGTCATTGAATTTTATGGGAATCTGGACAAGGGTGTCAGGAGAAACAATGCAAGTCTAGGGCCAGAAAGTTAGTTACCAGATGAAGACTTGTTGATGATGGCGGTGACAATTCTGAGTGAGAGCTTTGGAGTATGTAGTCAACATTCATTTTTAATCCTTAAAGATGCAATATCATTTAGTTTTCATACTGGCTGTCATGATATCCCTACTAGAAAAACCTGATTTCTTAAAAGAAAAGACATCCACAACCATACAACTATCTATCACATACTTTCTTTTTCTTAAATTAAAATGTGTGCTTGTCCCATGCCCTAAATAGTGCCTTTTTTACTCCTTCACAAATGGTCTGTCAGGACTGCAGAGATGGCTCAGCAGTTAAGAGCACTAGAGCACTGGCTGTTTTAGAAACTTCTAGAAGACCTAGGTTCAATTCCCAGTACTCACATGGTAACTCACAAATGTCTGTAATTCAAGTTCCAGGGGCTCCAATACCCTCACATAGATATACATGCAGGCAAAACATCAAATAAATAGACCATTAAAAAATTATTGCCAAAGCTGATGACCTGAGTTCAATTCCTGAAACTCACTTGGATGAAGGAGAGAACTGACTCCTTCCTACAAGTCATCCTTTGACTTTCATATATGTTCTGTGATATATGGCACCCCCTAACCAAAACTCATTTGAAAAATATAAAGAAATAGACCTTCGATTTTCACCTATTAAATGATAAGATTTTAGCAGTTACTACTAAGTTTTCTTCTTGTTTTAATATACTCATAAATATAAGGTCAAACACATCTCAAGAAAATTGATGCTTTAAGTTTTGTTGTTGAATAAAATCTTGCAAAAGACAAAGGAATTTTCTCCATTTGAACATCTAGGATCTGTGAAAATGAAAGACTGCAATCTGAGGCAGGCAGAGCCATAGTATGTGTTTCACAGATTTCTAAAACTGAATATAGTCTTGGCCTGTTTAAAGCATCTAACTGGGACTTCTAATAATTTACTACTAAATTCTTATAAAATGGAGACTATACCAAAATCATTCTTATACATATATATTTTCATTATATATTCAAATATATATTGTTATTAATATCCCACAATAAATGCGCAATAAATCAAGGAGAAGATCAATCTTACTTGCTCAAGACCACATGTCTAGTCTACGGGAGAACTGGAACATAAACTTAGATATTTTTAATTTTCAAGCTCTCAGTTAGTGTACTGTATCTGCATTCTATTTTTAGCTTATTTGGATATGTACATTGAATATCACTTGCATCAATGACATTTTTCACTAAAACATCTGCTTAGTTTGTTCACTAGCATATTCCCCATATACCTCATGATGCATGCCTTTCACTGATATTAAATACTCTGGGTCACTTGTAGTCACATGTCTATTGGTAACTCTGATTCTTTCTCTCTAGATATTTCAAGTCATATAGAGCAATAAGCCTCAAGTGAACACAGACAACCATACCAGAGAAGATATTTACAAACTCCAAACTGAGAAAAATTTCCACAAAGAATACATCAATCATGTGTGGGTGATTGCCATAACAGAAATCCTCCTTCACTGAATTTGTGCCCGCAGTTTGTTCTGTTCATATCAGAAGGGATTATTAACATTTTCAGAAAATACAATCTCTGGGACACCGATAGCGAATTAACTTTGGTAGTGAGAGAAATTGAAGCTAGTTGTTACCCTGTGCCCTAGGACAGTCTAATTTTCATTTTAACTCTGAGTTATTTGGCACACTATTCTTTATGTAAGAAATACAAGATCATGTATATTTTTATTCATTTTTAATCTCATAAAAGAAATGTCTTTAAGTCCAACAGCAAAAGGGTAGAGAATTCTTTGTAAAAGACCTTTCAGATCTTACAACCATTTTGGTTGTAGGACAAGTATTTTGGAGCCATAATTTTTTTATCAAATGAGTACAAGTTTATTTTAACCATGAGTGCATTTTGTAAAATAATACTAATGGGGTAGCCCTCTTCTTTCCTAACCAAATTCTTCCCAATTAAATCCAACTGCACTATTCATTTAGAAATTTGATAATGCTCTCTTGTGTGAGTTCTAGGAATATTTGAAAGCCCATTGCATATAAATTATATCATGGAAAAGCTGTATAAATATTCTATTACGGCATATGCTGTTCTGAGGATCTGTCAGGATTTCCTTTATACACTCCATCTTGAGTGGTATATAAATCAGATGTAAAAATTCATGTTGGACTGAAACTCAGCACAGAAAGCCTCCTCTAGTGGAAAACGCTCTCTTCAGAATGTGGTTTGAATTATGTTGGCCATTTTTAAGTTATAGAAGTAGAGAAAATGTATTTGTGGTTTTGAAGAAAAGAGATTTTTTCCATTTTCATAACTCATTAGGAAACTTTACAGGCCTTCAGACCATTTTGTGGTTTAGTGTTTCTCAGTTTTTTTCTCTCCAAAGCAATATTAAAAGCTGAGTGGTGTCTGCTATGAACTGATCATTACTATTTCAAATGCAAAGGTGTATGTTGGTATATGTATCCAACTAGATGTTCCCAGTGAAAACATGGTAAGATTGTATGATTCGGCCTAGGCTTATCAGCTGCCCATTGTTTACTCTGGGTACCAAATGAAATATGGTCTATCACACTACCTTCTAAACTCAGTGCAGAATGTATGTTTGATATTGTGAAGCTGCATTTTTGACTCACAGAAAAACCTACTGGAGTTAAATGCTGCTTCTTTGACCATTTATTTAACCTTTCTTAAACTCTGTTTGCTCTAACAGCCATCACAAGTGGCTGGCTGCATGTTTGAAAAGTATTCAATAGGTAAAAAGATATTTTTGTGCAGAGGTTACTTTGAATTCATTGAATTGTTTTTTGTGTGTAGATGATGTCATTGAGTATTATCACAAACATAAGTTATTGCTTTAGCAAATACAGAGGTTATGATTATATTATCTCTTTTAATAATATTAATTAAAAGCTAAGGAAGTTTCCTTTGGAGTGAGAAAGTCAGCATGGCTCACACAGTATAGTAAGCTTCTTTCAAATGCCTTGGACATAACATTAAAACTGCATTCTCTCATACTCTTCAATTAGATTAATTCACTAATCCACTAGGTTAAAAAAATTAGTAATTACCACTTAATGCTTTATCCGTTAAAACACAAAATTGTTAGTATCTTCTCAAAGTAACTTTTTTAAAGTGTCTATTTAGTACTTGGTTTCTGAGTGTTTTCATTCTTTGCACAGCTCCCTCTTCACCATGTTAAACTATTTCTGGTGAAGTTACTGAATTATTTGTTTGGGGATAGTTAGGATGAATCACTCAGAGAATAATCAAACATTTGCCTGTTGCTAGAAGGGCAATGGGGGCTTTTCCTTTGGGATGCAGTGAGGAGCAGACAGCAGTCTACATGCTCCTGAATGTTTTATCTGCTAACAGAGTGTCATGGAAATTAGCCAGCTCAGTACTACAGAGTGAGCTGAAGGCTACTTCTATTTTTCGACATTAACAGACAGGCAGGGTTACTAATGAGGGGTCATATCCCCAAACTCTAATCTGTAGAACTGGATATCCTTATTTCTATCTGGGTCATTTTTTATTCTGCTCCACTTACTTTTACTAAATTACACTAATTTGTGTTCCACAATGTTACACTTGCTATAATTATAAAATGTTACATGCAATTTATATATCATTACAATTATCTTTCTGATAGTTCATTATTGAATTAATTTCTCTTATGATTTAACCTAGTATACGTTATTCCGAACATCTTTGTTTAACACACTCTGTCATTAAGATCACCATTGCAGCTTTGGAGGGAAAATCTACACATTTTCTGAGCACCAGGCAGGTACGTACTGAAATACAACCTTCTATTAGTTACATATGTTTCAGAGTGAAGTATGGACATTTAAGAATCACCAAATAAATGTACTATAAATAAAATAATTTCATAAATGAAGCCTCTATAATTCAAGGTTTGAAATCAAGCAAATAGTATATACACTAAGCAACAATGGATTGCACATTAATTTTCCTTAATTTGGACTACTAGAGTTGCATTATTTAAAGAGAATTGACCCACTAAACCTGACAGCATTATTTTTATAAGCAACCAACAGATTTTTTAGGTTTGTTATTTCCCATAACATGCAAAATAATGATATTCTAGAAACTTTCAAGTATGTAAAACACCTCCTTACCTTGATTTTACCTTTAAGCAGCCTTTTATTTGTCTATTGGGAGCTTCTTCCACTGGTTTTACAGGCTCTGGATCTTTCCTTTTCTTTTGACAAACCAATACATAATTGATGCCATTATTATTTGACCAAAATGTACCCACAGAAGTTTCATAGCGTATACAAAACTCAACTTTACTGCCATCTTTTTGATAAGGAGGAACCAATGAAATCTTAAAAGAGAACTGGTCAGTTTCACCGTCACATGAATTAGGAACATATTCTGCTAAAATGTCATAATGTGTTTGCCAGTCATCCAAGGACATGCGCACATATACTAATTTCTCAAAAGAAATGTTCAGAACTCGAATAATGCCCTTCATAGTTGTCGACCCAGGGAGGTATTCAGTAGACTCCAGCATTGCTTTCTGCACTTGAAGTTGTCCCATAAGTTCTTCTTTTGAAGAGGGCAAGTCAAACAATGGAGACAAAACATATTCTTCTGTGTGGAAGACATCCCTACTTAAGCCAAAATCAGTTGAAACACTTGGTAAATCCCAGCAATCAAATTCTTTAACGGACACAAGACTGAATCCAAGGCTGTCAGCAAAGGAAACCCTCCGGGAAGCTGAAGTTGGGGTGTCCAGGTACGTGTCTTCAGAAGATCCTGACCCTCTTCTGCTCGGCTGAGGGGAGAAGCCAGGCTTGAAGGTCGCTTTAACTTCCTCATCTTCACAAACAGAATCAGACAGATTAGGAACTTCTAAAAAATTATCTTTGCTGATCTGACCAGGTACTTCGGTAGGCTCCATTGGACTTTCTGATATCAAATAAGAGAAAGCTGTACAGCAAGTAGAGACTGATATTTGAGATACTGAGGCTTAAAATAAGTGTAAGGTTACAGTTGACATTGCAAAAGAAGTCAGCTCTATAAATAGGTCCAATGGCTTGTAAACTATGCTAGCCTTCCTCCAAAGGCCTTTTATATGTTAGTGTCCATGCTGCTCTGGCTAGGATGTTCCACATTTAACATTTGATGTTAAAAGTTGCATCTGTTTATGAGCTCAGTTCCAGAGACATCAAAATCATTTTGTCATTTAAAATGTTAAAATTAAGGGTAAATTGCTACTTTAATTAGTTGTGAAAATTTAAATATGTAACAAAACTAAAAGCAATGAACTATTGAATATGTACTGTGAGTTCAATCCACCCCTGAAGCAGGCAGTTTAGACAGGGAATTTATGAATGTTTGTAACTTGGAGAGATCTACAGTTAGCTAAAAATGATAACTAGCATTTTCTGAGAATTACAGTGTCAAATGTTGACTGTCAAGGGGTCAAACACAGGTGCTAAAAAATAAGTAAAAAATAAACTAGAAAAAAATTTAAATACTCATTTGGCTTGGCACAGAAATACACCAGTGAGAAATCTGTCCTATTAATATGATGGGAACATATGCAGCACTCAATGACACGGTGTGCTCATAGCCTAAGTTTATTTTTAAAACAGCTCTAAATATGATTGAAAGGCTGGCATGAAAGAAAGCAATAAATAATGCCACTTAACAAAGATAGAATCCTTGCAGTGACACAAATATTAAACAGCGAAGTAGAAAAAGGAAAAGGAGAATAAACATGCAAGTGTGTGTGTGTGTGTGTGTGTGTGTGTGTGTGTGTGTGTGTGTGTGTGTGTGTGTGTGTGTAGACAATTCCTGGAAAGTTCAAAACATTTTAGTGGTTTTAAAAATCTTCATAGAGACTGAAACACCTTTTTTGAAATATTAAACATGGTGATCACTGCACTTAAAAAATCTATATTTTGAACTCAATTAAAATATAAAATAAAAGACGTAAATTATCTTTTTTTCAAAATCAAAAGGTACACTGACACCGTGTCTTTCAAGTGACAACTTTATAAACATTGTAACTTCTTGTATAACTTTAATTGCATAAATTCTGTAACTAAAAATCTATTTCCCAAGGTAGGAAATGTATGGCACCTAGGACAATAATAAAGTAAAACTATTTAGGTAATATCTCATCTACATAGCTAGCAAATGAATGTTATTACATATCTGGGGATTAGGAATTGCCAATTTTGTTTTATTATTATTATTTTTATGTAGGTTAGAAACAATCTTGTTCCACATGTCAATACCCTCCCTTCCTCCACCACTCTCCCCACCAGGTCCCCCAGTCCCCGACTCAATCTCTACTCTGATCCCCAGGGAGGGTGAGGCCCTCCATGGTGGATCTCCAGTGACTGTCATTTCATCCAGGGCAGGGCCTAGGGCCTCCCCCAAGAGTCCCAGCTGAGAGAGCCTCCCATATTGTGGTATGGGCACTCAAAGTCTATTTGTACCCCAGGGATAAATACTTCCCAAGGCCCCATAGATTACCTAGGCCTCCTGACTGTCACCAACATTCAGGGTCTGAGTCAGTCCCATGCTTTTCACACAGCCATCAATCTGGGGTGCAAGAGCTCCCCCTTGGTCAGGTCAGCTTTTTCTGTTGTTTAAACCAGCCCAGTCTTAACTCCTTTGCCCATAAGTTCTCTCTGTCTGACACTGGATTCCAGGAGTTCAGTTCAGTGTTTGTCTGTGGGTATCTGCCTCTGCTTTCATCAGTGGCTAGATGAAGGTTCTGTTTCCTAGACTCTCTGGCAGTGGGGTTATATGCTGGCACTCCCCTGATTCATGTCTAAAATCCATAAATGAGTATGTACATACCATGTTTGTATTTTTTGTGACTGGGTTACCTCACTCAGGATAGTTTCTTCTAGTATCATCTATTTTCCTGCAAATTTCAAGATTCCATTGTTTTTTTTTTCCATTGTGTAAATGTACCACATTTTCTCTATCCACTCTTCAGTTGAGGGACATCTAGGGTGCATCCATGTTCTGGCTATTATAAATAATGCTGCTATGAACATCGTGGAGCAGACATCCTTGTTGTATGAATGTGCATCTTTTGGGTATATGGCTAAGAGTGTAGTTGCTGGGTCTTGTGGTAGACTGATTCCCGTTTTCCTGAGGAATCTCTATACTGATTTCAAACGTGGTTGTACAAGTCTGTACTCCCACCAGCAGTGGAGGAGTGTTCCCCTCTCTTCACATCCTCTCCAGCATAAACTGTTGTTGGAGTTTTTGATTTTAGCCATTCTGACAGGAGTGAGATGGTATCTCAGAGTTGTTTTGATTTGCATTTCCCTAATAGCAGGTATGTAGGAACACAAAGTACATCATTAGGTAGTGAAAGGAATTGGTAACAAAACATTTCATAAATGTAAAGCACCTGCAGAAGTATGGAAATGATTTAAGGGAAGTAACCATGTAATTGTTTTCTAATGTAATCTATCCATTGACTTAGAGAGATGAAGACCCTGGGTCCACATTATACTTCTAGGATTTAATAATTGTTGGGGAAATCCTGTGTATATGTCAATAAAGCACTGTTGGCCAATAGGGAAGCAAGATAGGTGGGACTAGGAGTTCAGGAGTACTCTGGGAAGGAGAAACACAGGGAGTCACGATGTAGCCCGCCACAGAAATAAGATGTCCAGAACTTTGCTCGGTAAGAGAAATACTTAGATTAACAATTATGGGGTAAATACTTAAGTCAGAGCTAGCCAGTAAGAAACAAGCAAAGCCAACAGCTTCATAATTAATATAGCCTCCTGTGTGTTCATTTGGTACTGATGCGGCTCTGGAACCAGGCTGGAGGAAGGCTTCTCTTTACAAATAATTCTACAACTTTCCTTAGGTGGCCAAAATTTTCTGTTTAATTTTTACAGGGTAGTCTGAACAATGAAATGTGATGCCTAAAAGCTGTCCTAATATAGACAATCATGTTTGTTCCTTATAATGGGCTGATTGGCATATTAATCAATGAGAGTATAGATATCCCATATAGATCATATTAGGAAAAAGTCTGTCATTTGGTTTACTGTTATGTTTTTCAGTGACTGTAGTCTGCAAAGCTAGATCTACAACCTATAAAAGGGATACACATTAGGAAGTTGTCTTGTTTATTTGATTTGAACTCTTCCCTTTTGACTATTCCTCTTCAGTAGAGAATCCTCTCTGGGCAACCACCACCTTTCTTTAGTGTTGATAAGCTTTGCTTAACTGGAATCAGCTGCTGTGTCCTTTAATCTCTATGTTGCTAACCCACAGTGACAGCCTTTTCCTAATCTCTTCTTATTTGTCAGCTCTCCATTGCTTTCTTTCTTTTTAGATTATTGTGTTACTCTTCTCTGAAGTCTTCCCAGCATCTTCTGTTATTCTGTTAATGAGCTGCCTCTGGTTGAGTGTAGGATCAAAGACCAAATGCTTATAAAGCTTATAAAACAGCCAAAAAAACCCAAAACAAAAACAAAATAAGCCAGTACCATCCGCATTCTCATGCCTGGATATTTGTGTATAGTTAAAAATCAGAATCATTGGTCATGTCCATACAATAGCACAACATCTATTTCCTCAGTTTCAACAAGTTATCCTGCTCTACTGCAGCTGCTCAGGTGAACATTTTAGCCAAAGGAAAGCTTCTGAAAACTAAACTTTATAGTTTTATCTGTGTCTCCCTTTGTATTGATAAAATATTCTCAAATAACTTTTATCATATAAAATAAAAAATCACATAGGAGCCCAGTAAAAAGAGTGTAAGTAGCACCCTAAACTAAAATAATTCCACGAGTCTATTTATAAACTGCAAATAAGGATAAGTCACACGGCCACGGCTAGTGTGACAAACTCAGACCAGTTGCGTAATTGCTATTTCTGGTTCTAAAGGCATAGGAAGGGCCATGAGCAAAAGAACTTAAAAACATAAATTGCCATGAGGTATTTACTGATGAGACCTGTTCAAGAAACAAAGCTAACTAATAACCTTGCTAGCAGTCATACAGGATAATAAATACACTGGATTCATTATGCTCTATGCTAAGACCTCTTACAACGATTATTAGTGACTGAGAGAATATAGAGGTTAATGGTTCCTTCAGATCTGCCTCTGGGTGCACAAATCAGGGTGGAAAATGTTGAAAGCCTAACGAAACTGAGGTAGGTACTAGGGATGAAGTACATACATATATACTGCATACATACATATGTGTGCACTTAAAATATTATATATAGCCAGGCGTTGGTGGCACACACTTTTAATCCCAGCACTTGGGAGGCAGAAGCAGGCAGATCTCTGTGAGTTCAAGGCTAGGCTGGTCTACAGAGAGAGTTCCAGGACAGCCTCCAAAACAATACAGAGAAACCCTGTCTCGAAAACCCCAAAACATTATATATGTAAAACTTAAAATATGTTTTCTTCTTTACAAATACTCCATATTAGGCAGCACACTTGTTCCTTGATCTTTTACTGTCAGAATTTTTAGAAAGGGGGTGAAGAATTTATGGTCTATAAATTCGAAACATCAGGAGTCACAAATAAGAAAGACTGGGTATTTATGCAAATAACTGGGGAAAATGATTCTGTTTTCAGATGTACTGTAGCTCACTTGCCTCTTTTGTAGATGTTGATCTATGATCATCACCCAAAGTCAAGAAACACTGAGTCACAAGAAAACTTATGTCAGTGCCTCATGACTAAAAAGGAAAATTATTAAAATTTCTATGAGAGGCCCTCAAATTATAGATAAGATGCAATATCAAATCTACAGAACAAGATTTCTTCTGCTGAAGGCCCTCTCCAGACTTGATGTAGTTGCATGATCACATGATCAGTTGACCTTAAAGTTGGGAACTACTCAATGAAATAGTTGCAACAATCATTGCTTCTGTAATATTTACACCTTTTTAATATGGATCCTCT